TTCAGCTTACCTGGGGGTCGCTTACCTTGTGGTCTCCTGTGAGGCTGTAGGCGAATACGCATCTTCGAGATGACGAGGCGATGGTCGGTCCTCCCGTCAGCGTCCGCAATCGCCTTCGTCACCAGCACGTCCCGCCGATCTCGCCTCCGGACGAGGACATAGTCCAGCAGGTGCCACTGACGCGACCGAGGATGCCTCCAGGTGGCCCTCTCTCGCTCCGGCAGACAGAAGAACGTGTTCGTCAGGATGAGGCGGTGTTCTGCGCAGGTGTGGATCAGCAGCAGGCCGTTGTCTTTGGAGCCGCGGAGACCGTGGGGACCCAGCACTCCCCTCCAGGCAGTATGGTCTGTGCCGACGCGGGCGTTGAAGTCACCAAGGACAATCAACTTGTCCGCCTTCGACACAGTCGCCAAGAGGGCGGGCAGATCCTCGTAGAATTTGTCTCTTGCGGCGGCGTCGTGGCTGCTCATCGGCGGATCGTAGGCGCTGATGACGGTGGCGAATGTGCCCCCACCCCGGAGAGGCAGACGGAGGCTCATCAGGCGATCGTTGATGCCCTGCGGCAAACAGGGCAGTCGTCCCACGATGTCGTTCCGAATGGCGAAGGCGACACCCGCGTCTCGTCGCTCTGCCTTGGGTCGACCACTCCAGAAGAAGGTGTCGCCGGTATCCACCTCCTCCAGTTGGCCTTGTTCGGAGAATCGAGTCTCGCTGAGTGCGGCAATGTCCTCCTTGTAGCGCGCCAGTTCCCGGGCAACTAGCGCTGTCCTCCTATCCGGTTGGTTGCTCCTCGGATTGTCTAAAAGGGAACGAACATTCCAGGCTGCCAGAGTGAGCGGGCTCACCCTGTCAGTCTGGGGTCAACGAGAGGGTCGACGCGAAGGAGGTGGAGAAGAAGATGGCAAAGGAGAAGTATAGGCAGAGGAAGAGGAAGGATAGGTAGGATGAGGAGAATGAGTATGGTTGTTGTTGTTGTTGTTGTTGTTGTTGTTGTTATTGTTGTTGTTTCGATTTTGATTGTTTCGACCATGTTTAGACGTCTGCGGTCCTGACTAGCCTGCAGACGGCGTGGTGCCCAGCAATGTTTAGGCCACCTTTTCTCGGCCCTTGCCCTCGAGTGAGCAGGCAGTGCCACCCCTGAATAGGGTTGCCTATGTGCCTGTTTGGCTCGACCGAACCCCACTATGGGGCCATGACTTGTTGTTCGTAGTGGAGAACGGCCGAATTTGCCGTAAGTCCGCGGTCTCCGTCGGCAAAGGTGGGCGCGTCTCAGCGAAGACGATGCGGAGCCCCGTCCCGCAGCAGCTGTCCAGCGGCATACCAGGTAGAGCCTCGTCTCAACGATGCCGGAGCAGTGTTTCATCCGACCATCCATCCAGCGGATTCCGCGATGCCCTGTGCACGCGGCACAACCCGCACATGGTCCCCTCACTTGGTTTAGCCCGTCGGTCGAGACGGTTGTCCGGGGTGTGGCCGCTGAGCAGAGCCCAGCTACGTGGAGCCACATGTGAGAGTTGGGTGCCAGCAAATGGACGCTAGGCGTAGTCTCACCTGCAAGCAAGTGAGCGACCACTACGACCATTACGTGAACCCACCGCCGGACACCCCGTCGACCGTCGTGTTCGACGATGTCCACCGTGTGCCCCACAGCTGCAGCAGCGGTGGGAGCAGGGACGGTGACCTGCGCAGGGGTTTATAGTGCCAGTAGACTTGCACAGCATCTGT